AGCCAAACGAAAGACAGGAGAAAAAGATGGAGGACATGGAGACTCAAGGGGAGAACAAAAAGGAGTGTGAGGAAGAGGACGGCCAGAGTGGTTAGTTGCAGAGCAGATATTGGTTTTCCCTTTTGGCCTACTTTACTACACTTTCAAGATTTGACAAAATTCATCTTGCTCATGCTGTTTCTCTACAGAAACAGCTGAATTTTATTGGAAAAATATTCACTGTTTAAAACAAGCCTGGAATGAATTCCAGGAATATGAAGAAAATGTTAAATGAATATGCTGTATTATTTTTCTTTAAAGACGAAACAAGACGACATCACATAATTAATGTAGATGTAAACCAGACTGTAGTTTGATGTAAATGTAATGTAGTTTAACCACAGTGAAGCTGTGCTTCATGGTGATTGGAATCGGCTTGCTGACGCTCTAAACTGTGTGGGTTGAATCCAGTCAGACTGCTGCATTATGAATGTGTTATTTTCTAGTCTTCACACATTAAGTCAAATCCTCCAATGTAACTTCAACTTTCTTATGAACGCCCACTGCAAACACTTTGCAGCAAAAGTTTCCTCTGAGTTCTAGTCCGTAAAATTCCTGGACATGTTTTTATGTAATCTGTGGTGATGGAGAGGACTCGGTGCCAGTCTCTCATCTGTTTTTGTCTGATTTCTGACTCCGCTCTGTGACAGGCTCAGCAGGCAGTTTGTTAGTAAACCCCCTGGATCCTCTTAACGCCGACAAGCTGCAGGTCAAGATCGCTGACCTTGGCAATGCCTGCTGGGTGGTGAGTAAAAATATGCATCAGAAACAAGGCAGCTTCTTGTAGGTGTTATCGGGCGGGGCCTCTGTGGGTCAGTCTTGACAGAAATTGAGCCATTCTTTAAATGTAACTCAACATGCTTTCTGTTGATTATAAGCGTTTTGAGTCTTTTCTTTTTTTTTTTTTTTATCTTGTAGCTCATCATGTTCGTTTTGGAATCTGAATTTTACTGAGATGTCAGCATTGTTTTTGCAGCACAAACATTTTACAGACGACATCCAGACACGGCAATACCGTTCGCTGGAGGTTCTGATCGGAGCTGGCTACAGCACTCCAGCAGACATCTGGAGCACCGCCTGCATGGTAAAACACAAACACAGGACCGCTGCATGGGCAGTGCAATGAAAGCCAGATACGTTCTCTTTAGGTTCCAGCAACCTGTCAGTAGAGAAACGCTGCTGCCTTTAAAGTAAATTCTCCAGCTTTGACTTTTATTGTTTATATTATATACTTGAACCCAGAGAACACAGGAAGTAATGCATTAATTTGTGATGTCTGAAAATATTGACTTGAAATAGTCGAATATTACAATAAATGCTTAGGTTCCATTGATTCCATTGGAAATATTAGAGGTGTAAATAATGATTTTTATCCAGAATTATTTTTATGGGATTTTATTCATCCTTTCATAGTTGTAGCTACATATACATCTGTAACTGTTTTCATTGTTGAATGTAATAATTAGGCGTCTTTTCGCAGGAAACTTTCAGGTATATAAAGTTTTCAGAGGGAGAAACACAAAAACTGGTATAGCTGTAATTAAACCCTCCTTAATTCTGCATGTATGTTTTGTTTTGTCAGGCCTTCGAACTTGCTACTGGAGATTATCTGTTTGAGCCGCACTCTGGAGAGGACTACTCTAGAGATGAAGGTTGGTCAGAAAACAGGAGTGCCTTTACAAATGTGTCAGAACTGGATTCAATTTGGGATCTGAAGTATATAAAACCTAAAATTGTTAAGAGTTGTGACTAGACGGAAACATTAAATCGAAAATATTTATGTGATTGACATATGTGTGTGTGTGCTTGTAAAGGGAAAACAAGATGTTGGTTTTCAGTATTTATAGCAAAAATCTCAAATGTAAAGATTCAAATTTGCTCAAACATCACCTGAAAGATCCATAGATCTCTAAGGCTGTCACGGATCAGCAATTTTCATTCACACAGCAGAAGTTATTTTAAATAGTGACTTGTCTTGAGTGAATGAAAGCTAGGATAAATTATATTTATAGATCAAATTTGACCTTTTTCAGTCAGGACTGGTTAAATTTTCCTATATACATATTTTTTCTTTCCACCAAATAACAATCAGGCCCAGATTAATCCGATTGGGTTTCTCTTCTTGGTGTTGTGGTTCTGCTTCTATAGCATCTTTTTCTGTTTGAAACCATGTTTTGTATTTTGTTTCTTTACTTTCAATTGTTCTATTTTGTCTCGATCACTTGAAAAAAAAAATCCCTTAAAATACATTTAAGTTTGTGGTTGTCGGAAAATGTGGAGGGAGAAAAATGTTGAAGGGTTGCAATCGCCTTTGGTGGATCTTCATGTTTGATTCTTGTCACCTGTACTCACCGTGCGTTTCCGCGTCTCTGCTCCCTGCAGATCACATAGCGCTCATCATTGAACTGCTTGGCAAGGTTCCTCGGAAGCTGATCGTGGCAGGCAAATACTCCAAGGAGTTTTTCACCAAGAAAGGTAAACACACTTGCCAGCTGTCTGCTGGAGAAGCTGCTTCCCCTTTCACTTTGAAACATCCTCAGGTATTTGGAGAGGAGATGCTATTTCAGGGCTAAGCATGTGACTCCTCAAAGGGAGCAGCCATCTGCTTCGCTCAGGACAGAACCTGCAGAAACTAAATGAAGTTGAGCTCTGTGAAGGTCCACCGAGACTGAATCTTATGACACGTGTTTCTCCCAGGCGACCTGCGACACATCACCAAGCTGAAGCCGTGGGGCCTGTTCGACGTCCTGGTGGAGAAGTACGAGTGGCCCAAGGAGGAGGCCCACTCTTTCAGCAGCTTCCTGCTGCCCATGCTGGACCTGGTGCCTGAACGGAGGGCCACGGCGGCCCAGTGCCTCTCGCATCCGTGGCTCTCCTCCTAAAGCCTGTACGCCACCGCCATTTTTATATTTCGTGAAAGAACCCAGCCAGCAAATTCATTCATGTCTGCGAGCTGGACCCTCATGGTGCCAGTACATCCAAACGACAGAGAGGAAAGCAGTCGAGGCTCTGTCACTAATTGTTCAGTAACGCCCTACAATTGTACTTTGAATAAATTGGCATTTATTTTTTTATTTTTTTTGAGTGCAGGTGTATCGCTGGTGCCCATTTTTTTCTGTTCAAGAACTGAAATTTGCACTTTTCTGACACAAACAGAAGTGAAAGAAGCTTTGTGAAACAGTAATCCACTGGGTGTTGTACAGCTGAGCCAAATCTTCGCCAGTCATCATGTGCCAGCTTTTACACTTTTTGGCCTCGCTTTGTTCAGTTTGTTCCTGCACAGTGCTTATCAGATTAAAAAGTAACCAGTGATTTTTAAGAACAGTCTTAAGATTTATCATCACCAACAGCAAAAAGAAGAACAAAATTGTTTATTTTGGTTTTTTTTTACATTCTTCCACAAACACTTCCACAGAATAAGACATTTAACAGTGCGCATCAATGACAGTTGTCCAAAAATACACTGACAACTAGGCTTTTTTTTTGTTTGTTTGTTTTCTTGCAATATTGTCAAGGTTCTACATTACTTTACATTTTTTCAGCACTTGAGGGTGAAACTGGTGTTTTTTTTCCTTCTGGGTGGACAGCTCTGCAGACGGTTTATAAACACTGGCATACTTGGAGTCCAGCCACACATGGATAAGCAACCAGCGCTCAGTACGGCGTACCAAAGAGTTTGGCTTGACGCAGGTTCTGAACGAGACACTGAGTAGCAAAGGAGATTATCCGAAGGGCTTAAAAACTTTCTCATTCTGTGTGATCAGGCAATAAATTTAGCTTCTACTGTGCAAGACTCCTCCCCTCCCCCCATGAATGTGCTGGTTTAACAAAAGATTGTACTAATTGCAGATATTATTTTATTGCTTTGACTTTCTTCACAGTTGTCATATGTTTTAATGATGCAAGTTTCTTATGTCCATGTCTTCCGTCTTTATTTCTTCCTGTAGAATATAAGAATAAACACTTTTCCAAATTAGTTTGCCTGGTGAGCTGAAGGTTTTTAGTAACTCCTTACAAAAAAATCAATTCACTCACAACAAACGTGAATGTATTTTGAAGTGTTTAATGTGATAGCCCAACAAATAGGAGTAGTAGAATAACATATTGTTGAAAGAATATGACAGACATTTTCCTACATTTTTATAAATATCAGTCAGATTATTTTGGTATGTATTTATGCTGCCAATATTACATCCCTACCAGTTTTGGACATCTAAAACTTTTTTCCTTCTAATAATTTTTCCCCACCTGAGCTGTGGATCTGTAAAGCTCCTCCAGAGGTACCGTGTAAACATATCGGAGAGTCTTGTATAATTTTCCTTCCACTTCACATTTATTTGTGACTTTGGCTTGTGCTATTTAAGAAAAAAAATACATTGAGATTTGTGCCTGATGCATGACAAAATGTGAACAAATTCAGAAACTCCTCCAATAAAACAAATCTTAATCATATAAAGGTTGAAAAATTAAAAACAGTATTTAGAAATTCAATTAAAATAATTCATAATCTTTTGGGATTTAGGTTTAACTTTATTTGACCAAAATCTTCTCACTAGAAGAAACACTTAGAAATGTTGGGAAATTTGTGTTTCCACAAATTCTGTTTGTGACTTGGATATGATTTTATTTTTATTTATTTTTTCTCTAATCTGTAGAGCACTAAAGCTTCGATTGACAACAAGCAGGTCTTCTGTCTTCAAAGAGAAATCCTCAAAATCTCTGAAATCGGCCATAAATTTTGACCAGCGATTGTAAGAACGGTTTGATCAGTTTGATGTCATTAAATATTTATAGTGGACAGTCGATTGCATTGTCTGGTTAAACTTCAGAGAGATTTTGACCTAATTTTCTGTCAAAAGTAAACTTCTTGCTTGAAGTCCATGATACCATAGCAGGTCTATATTGAAGCCAGAGGTCAGAGGAACACCTTCGCTCTGTCAGAGTCGTTTCTGGAAGGACTTGAAGGATTTTCGCCGGTAAACTCCTGGGGGTTTATGTCAGTGTCGAGTTGGTTGCATTTCCTCATTGTGTTCACCATGGATCTATGCATTATCTGTCAAAAGAGGTAAAAGGTCAAATTAGTCGAATCAGATGTTTGCACTTAGTAGATGAGTGAGAAGTTTTAACATTTATAGTTGGCAAAGCATAGTAAAGCCCTGTGCATCCTTACTGCATTTGTCTTTCTTTGCTCAAAGAATAATTTGCACTGCACATATCCAGATAGATGGGCCCAGTGTGGATGTTTTTGAAAGCTCTCTGATTGGAGTGTAAATTTGTTTTACAATTATACTCAGTCTGATTCTGCTCTACACATATACCGATGTCATCTTAATTGGACCACTCTCTCTGTGTCTCTTTTTTTCAGTGTGAAGGGTAAAAGTATTTTTGCAACCACCTCAACCATTTCAAGTCACGCCTCCTTGGGCTCTGTCCGTCCACTTCCTGTCCCTTCACGAATGTTAAAACCCCCCACTCCTCTTTTCTCGCCATCCTTTGATCCTCTTACCCTTCCCCTCAACCTGGAAGTCCTCGGGCAGCAGCTTGTCCTGCCTGCTGCCGAGGCTGAAGGCCAGAAAGGACAGGATGAGTGAGTCCATGATGCTGATGATGGCCAGGATGTAGGCCCAGCGCACCGTGCAGTTTCCCAGGGTGTATTTGTCAGTGCGCTGGCCGCACATGCGCTTCACTTCCTCCGAGTCCCAGCCGTCGGGATAGATCATGCAGCCGATCACCATGCACGTACCTGGACAGGTGGGAGACACGCAAAGCGGTGAGGCGGCGATTTTTGAAGCTCAGCGGAACTTGCGTCCGTTTGTTGATTGAGGCTTTGAGAAAAGGCCCCTGGCTTGCAGAAGGATTCTTGGAACAATGAGGTTTTGAAGCCTGGATCAACCAACAGGAAGATGCACAATTTGGAGTTTGTGGAAAGACTGAAAGAACATCGACATGTCGAGAATACAAACCATTTCCTTCAGCTACAAGTGAAGCAGATCACCAGAGAAATAAAACTTACGCACACCCTCAATATCGAGTTGCTAAGCAACGTCGAAGCGCAGAAAGACGCAGCTGTTCATCCATTATTAACTCCGCATTAATCTCACTTTAACGTGACGTGAAACTCGATTCTCTGACGTCTCGGATGTGAACGTCCCGATGCCTGCAAACACTTTAATCCTCACAGAAACAGCTCGGCTGAAGAGTTTCCTCTAAACAACACAATTTATTGAAAATATTTCAACTAGAAAAAAAATGAAGTTAAATCAGAAGTTTTGTTATAGGCCAGTCTGCGATTAATTTAGAAATGTTTAATACTGAAAAATAAATAGAAATAAATACTTCATAGCATCTGTGCTGACCTTTCCCCAACAGCAACTTTAATGTTGCTCCATTGTTGCTGTGTGTTTTTTTTTTTTTTTAAGAAAACTTTAAAAAGTTTCAAACTGACCACACACCTCTTTCTATAACCTCCTGGAGACAGAGACAGTAAGCGGCCAGGACGCACGGTGCGCACAGACGCGCTGTAGACAGCAGGTGTGTGTCGGGATGAAAAGCGAGAGTAAAGCGTGTAACAGCGCACCTCCGGTTTCCATCTCATTACTCGCTTCACTGCAGGCTCGTCCTTTCACTCGCAGGCTCGTGTTTCTCTGCTGCCTCTCGGTGTTTCTGCAGAGGCTGAACTGCGCCTGAGGCACATGCTCTCATTTACCTGCATGTTTTCATGCCGAAAGCGACTCATTGAACAGAAACTGCATCATCAAAAAATGATGATACTTTCATAGTAACAAAAAAATTCATAAAGAAATGAAATTTAAAAAAAATAACAACAAAAACGTGATTTAGTGTAGGCTGTATTTTCTAATGAGGCAACGATTTCACTTTCTGGATGCGCAAAGGCAAACCCAGACAAAAGTGCAGCTGCAATTACAGCTAAAAACTTTTCTCCACAAGAAGGCAACAATTTGATACCTCCACCTTAAGAAATGAGGGTTAGCTTTGTGTGGTGAATATACCCGCCTAGCTCTAAGTACACATCCCTCCATCTGTTCAACACGTCAACCGCTTGAAAGAGGAAAAACTCTGATCCAACTCTCACTGGAGGCCAGCTGCGTCCAGGCGCAGATCTTGTAGACGCTCCCGGCGTTGCAGAAGAAGAAGAGACTGAAGCAGACGATGCTCCCCACGATCAGCAGCATGGAGATGCCCACGAAGAACATGGCCGTCTTGAAGGCCCCGGACGGGATGGAGCCGAAGTCCAGCGCGCTGCCTTTGCAGGTGAGCTCCGAGGTGAGTGCGTTGCCGATGCAGTAGTGAAACAGGCCGAAGTAGCCCGCCTGCGGCGTGTTCACGCTGTCCCCGATCCAGTAGGGCTGGATGAACACCACCACCATGATGACGGCGAAGGTGACGGTGAACACCTGCCACATGACGCCCATGGCCCGGGCGTTGCGCACGTAGTTGGTGTGGTAGATCTTGGCCGCTTCTTGAGCAGGAAGCATCCCGAGAGGCAGCTGGTAAAAGTTAATGTCCTTATCTTCAGTTGAGTCTAATTCCCCACTTCAGATGACTCTCTGGAGGACATCAGAGGCCTCTCGTCTTGCGTCACGAAGATTCAACACCACGGACAGCTCCCCGGTGCTGAACGCCACGAGGTTCTCTGAGTCATCTGCCCAGCGGACGGGCTGCAGTCGCAGTGGCTTTATCCCCGAGCCTCAGGCTGTGGGCTTCACATGATCAATCATTAATTGTTAAACGATCCGCTGAAGGGTGAGACACACATCCAGCACCACCAGCCGCCTTACACAGCTTTACTGCAATGAACTTTATTTAAATAAAGGAAGGTGCGACTCAGACATCAGTGTCAACATTTGCGTGGCGCGTTTGGCGCGCCGTGCCACCAAAAGCGAATCCCCGTCTGTTCCTTGACACGTTGCGAAAAATTTGATACAATACAACAATAAAATAAGACAGAAAACACAACACCATCAGTTGGTTTCTAATCACAATACACAAACACACACGCGCGCGCACGCACGCATTCATGCGGTTAATGTGTAAATACCTGAGCAGTTTTTAAACTATATCTTCAAATTAGAGTTAAAATAGACTTTTTAATGTTGGAAGGCAGTTTTGTGATAGTTGGTTAATGTGATTATTTAAATGGCCTAATATGGCAACAGAGACTGTTCATGCAGTCCGTAGCGTTTTTTTTTTTTTTTTTTTTTTGTAGTTTTTTGTTGATTCGCAATTTTCACACAAACTGCTCTCCACCTCAGGACTTTCCAGTCTTGGATAAATTTACTGCGTCATCGTTGTGTCGTAACAACTCTGTTCATCTTTGTCTCTCATTTTTCTCATGGAACCTCCGATAAAGAGTAGATCCTTCAGGGATGGTGGGCCATCAATTGTTGCTGCAAAGCCTCCTTAAACAATAATAATAATAAAAATAAAAATGACTCCATCATAGGTCATAGGTCAGTAACAATTTAAAAAACAGAAACAAGCCTGTGACATGTTCTCTCACTGGCCATGACCCTTTTTTTCTTTTTAAATAATCTAATTTGAAGTAGTATGTTGTTTGAATTAAATTAAATAGCATTTTTTTTTTATTTGCTGGCAATGTACGAGAAAAGTTTCTGTTTCTATCACAGTCGGCACTAGATGGAGCTCAAGAACTGCTCCAAGCCCACAAGTCTTCCCTTTTTCTTTATTTTCTAGACCTTTGTAAAGAATTGTACCCCAAACGTGTAAAGCCGTGTTAATGCATCCCAGTCATTCAAAGTGACGAACAGTAGTCAATGAAACTCTCAACTGCTTATCCCCTCCCCCCCCAAAGTATGCACCTGGGTATTTAAAATAACTATTTTAAATTCTGAATCTCCTTTTCTGTCATGTTGAGTAGAAGCAATTGTAGAAGTGGCAACAAATCAGTGTACTTGAAAAACCAACAATGCTGTCATATATTTAAAGTTTTGTATCACGTAAGCCGACCATAAGTTTAACATTTTCTGACGTGAGCAAGTATTTATTTTTTCCAGTTCAGTTTCAAATCTTTGTTCTTAGTGCTTGTCTTCATGTTGCTGCACAAAGAGAACACAGGAATGTGTCGACTAAAAGATGTCTTTTCATACTCCTAATCCTAACAGATTTATTGTTTCACAAGATTTCTAATCCTGTCACCACCTAGAATGAAGCTATGTTTTGTGTTCACCTTTAGCTTGGTTTAGTCATGCTTCTTTCAATGCACATACAAAAGGAGTTATGAGTTATGATCACGCAATAGTTTCTCTTACTGTCTGAATGTTGACACACCAACAGGGCACTGTACTTTATTAAGTGTGCAGGCCCTTTTGTGAGGCAGAGGCTGCTCATAATCAAGTTATCTGGAGAAGAAATCCAATTTTCTTTTACAGAATGGAGTGATATTTAATGTGTGTGTAACTCTGTGTGTGTGTATGTGTGTAGAGGTGGACATTGGTGTTTAGAGAGGGAGTGAATTTCGTGGGGGTTTTTTGTGCAATTTTTTATTTGCATGCCCAAGATGGTGAATAGATGATATAAAATGTTACTCTGAGTTCACTTGACTGAACCTGTGAATTGTAACAAACCATAATGAGAAAAAGAAAACAAAATGTCTCCGAGGCTGATCATTTTATGGGGGAAACTGTCTTCCATATGTTGCAGCAATTATGCAGGTCATTGCTTCTCGTTGGACGACTATAAGCAACATTTAGGCGTGCAAAGATGTCTCTGTTGGCTTTGTGAGTTTGGGACTGACTCTACATTTTTATTGCCTGGTTTACTTCGAGAACATCAGAGAGTGAAAATGCTTTTCTGTCATTTTGCAGGTGGTAGGCTTGTGAACGGACCAAGTAGTTACAATATACTTGGTCTCCATTATTCTCACTTGACAAAACAGCTGCAATAATACTGCAATAAAATGTCACAAACATGGATTATGTTTAGGGTGAATAAAAATGCACTCCACATTTTTCAAAAAATTTTGTTTTTCAATTTTCTTCCACTTCACAACTATACACTACTTTCTGCTGGTTGTTAACTACATGAGTAAAGGATCTAATGTTTCTAATGTTTCAACAATTAGTTGAGGTAGTATTACAAATAAGCAACAGAAATAAATGTGTCTGCTTCATGATTCTTTTTTAAAAAAACAAAAGAAGAAAGAAAAAAGAGGTCAGTCAGGATAGTTTAGTATTAGAAAAGTGACTGACTGAGTGAATGCAAAAAGCTTGCAGTTACCCTTGGACTCATGAGCAGCCACACTACACCGTCCTTCACATGCTGGTCTCGATGTGCTTGTGTTGCACCATTTTCTCGGTCACTACCTCCATGCTCCCCTCCCCTGCAGCGACCAACCACTATGAGCCACCTTCACGCCTCCACCCGTCGGCCTCTTGCTCGCGGCCCATCAGGGAAAGCCAGAAACCGGAGAGAAATGCTGCGGGTCATTAAGTTCCCCCTCGGGAAAAGACTCTGAAATGTAGGTCCACTTTGTGGTGGAATCATCTCTGATCAGTCACAACCAATAAATCCCCCTCTCTTTTTGGACTGGTAATCTGCTCAGGGATGCGCAAGTGATCTGTAGCCAGAACCTTCCACATATCTTTACATTACACTGCTGCTTTCACGCTGCTCTACAGATAAGTCCACATTTATGTTGTAATTGTACTGCCTCTGCAGCTTGAAATATGCATTTTTGTTCAGTTCTTCCACACCGTTTCTACAGATGCTGCTGTTCAGCTCTGCTCTGCTTCAGCACTAACTGGGTTCAGAAATGTCTTGTACAGCTGTTCGCTCTGTCATGGTACGATGCATAAATGCAGTGTGTTGCAGAAGTGTTCACATTGGGTTTTTCGCTGTTTGTCTGTTTCAGCTATTGCAGCTGCAAATTAGTCGTGGAATGTCTCTGCCATCTTTCCTTTTAGCAATATCAGAGTATTTGAAAACACACATGGTAGTGTGTTTTATTTGTACAAGTCCTTCCACTGCACAGCTGTTTTTTTTTTTTGTTTTTTTTTGACAGTGTTCTTAATGTTGAATAAAGACCTCAATCGGCTTGAGGAAGTTTATTACATCGTAAAATATCGGATTGCTTGTGACTTGAAATATTTGCTTTTTTTGTGTGCTGGATTTAAACCAGACAGCAAAATGGTAAATAAAAAGAAGCATGACTGTTCATTGCCTGATGTAACTGCTTTTGTTAATGGTATCACAAATTTCTTTAGATATGTATTATGCAAATAATTCCGGACAGTGGCAAGGTTAGATGGGCGGGGTTGTCCTTTTGAAACGCCCTATCATCGTCTCATCAACATATTCAGATACTCTGCACAACCTGCAGCTCCATTTGTCCTTTGAAGGTAAAAGCTCCCACAAAATAATTACCTCGCCAATGAGATTTTTTTTTCATGTTGTGTATTTTTTGGTCAAAGATGACGTTTTCGTCCACCTTTTGGTGGTTTGGAAGGAGATTTGACTTTTGAAGACGGTTATTTTTCTTCTGCACATGCCGTCTTATTGGACCGCAGTCAGCATCAGTAAAGGCCTTAAGTTGGATTGAGGTTGAAAACCTTTCTGAATCTTTATGTACAGTCTGTTGGAACTTCCTGATCAGCACAGGAGAATTTTTTATTTATTTTTTTGTCCCATAGTCCTCTGGAATTTAAAAGGGTTGTTCTACTGTGGGCAACCTTGGCAGTAAAGGCACCTTTGCTCATGCCGCCTGACAATCCTGTCAGGTTCAACGACAAAGGCCCTTTTTTCCTTTGGTACCACGGAGTCATGAGAGAGTGAATGCCTGACAGGAAATTACATGAAAGACAGACTATTGTGCAGACTTGAATTTTAAAGCTCTTGTGGTCTGAAACCTTTGAGTTTAAATGAATAATTTGATGACTGTGTTTTGTCTCTGACACCTGCCTCTTGTTGGTAATCTGCAGCCACTTTAGTGTTTTTGTTGTGAGTAAAAAAAAACATTTTTAGGGTAATCCCTGATTAGAACTAAACAAGCTGGATTCCTTCTACTCAGGAAATGTGTGGCCTGGATTCATTCCACCAACAATTGTGCAAATATCAGGTAAATATTTATACCCCTCACCATAAGTCTTAAAGTTTTATGTTAACAGATAATTATTGTTTTTTTTCCCCTTTGAGGTAATATATTCTAGGAAGATGTAATCAGAATTCACTGATCAGGATGAGTAATATAGAAGTAGTTTCAGCACAGCAATGTTCGCCTTTCATTTTAATAATTTTTTTTTTTTCATTTTTACGGTTGTTTTTTTAAAAGCAGTCAGTAAGTCTCATAAAAAATAAGCTCAGACCCCCGCCCAACCCTACACCAACACTTCAAGTTTGCAGTATGTAATTTCAACATAAACATGATCCAGTGGGTTCCCTAGAAGCAAATGCTGGATTTTCTTAATTGGAAAACATCTGCATTAATCAAGAAACACCATAGCGTTGTAAAAATCACATATCTCAGTGATACTGCAGTGCCAAACTCACTTTTAAATACTTCTGGTCCATCCTTCAGACTTCTTCGTCCATTTGAGACCTGTACTTTGACAACAAGATGTTGGAAAGGAATTACAGCTATTATTAACTTGTGAAAAACCCACTAAAGACTTTCTCATGTTTGAAAGATGTGAGTCGAGTTTTGTAGGATGATGGGACAAAATGCAACACTGCCAAGCTCTAGCAGCAGGTTGTTCTGTTTCACACCACTGCAGCTGACACAGATAAATCTAAGACACTGTTCCTCTGTTGCACACATGCATGAAACACAGCCAGTATCAAACATCCATGAATGCTCAATAACACTCGGCCAAGAACTCACATTGTGTGTGTGCATGCGTGTGCATGTGTGTGCTTGTTTATGTAATCTACCTAACCTTCTCAAGACCAATGGGAACTTTGGGGGACAAAGTATGACCCCCTGTTTTTGTGCTGTGAGTTAGAATTAGAGGCATGATGAAAATTAAGTTTAGGGATAATAAGGTCATGGTTAGGACTAACATGTGAATAGAGTTTTGGTTAGTGTTAGGAATACATTGGTGATGATTGTGTAAGTGTAAGGATTAGAATGTAGAAATGAATGAAAAATGAATGGAAGTCAATGCAAAGTCCTTGGGAAAACAGAAAGACGAACTGCATGTGTGTGTGCATGTGTGTGTGCATGTGTGTGCGCGTATGCTGTGATTTCTCCTGCAGGCAGGCAGTCAGGTTAACAAGTTCCAGCTGCACCTAATCCGATCACATCAAGGCAGCTATAAGAAAGTGAAAAAGGAGACGGAAAACAGTCAGATATTGTTCCACACTTCATTGCTAAACTAGCTCCTTTTAATTTCCTCCTGGCCTTCTTCTGTAAAGTTGCTTACCTCTCACTGTCCTTCTCTTTAGATGCTTGGCTCTCTGACACTTTGTGTTGAAATGATTCCCCCTCTTCCTCCTTTGTGTTCCTGGTTTGGCTTCTGCACCGAGCATCTCCCTCCTCTTCCTGGTTCCGAATCCTCCCGATCTCTTCGCTGCTCCTCCACATGCCTTCCTGTCTGCCCTCCACCCACCTTTAGTCCTCACCCAGAGTAAAGTTCGACAGACATGCAGCTTCTCCATTTCCTCATGTCAACTTCAGATCTGGCCAATACCTGACACTATGTCTCCCAACACAAAATTACCAAAGTAAGTGATGTGTGTGTGGCAGAGCACTACACATCATCCTTGATTACAACATATCCTCTCTGAAACATGGTGGCAGAATCATGCTGTGGGAAGATGTTTCTAATGCAATTACTTAGAAGCTGGCCAAAATTGATGCAAGGATGTATTAGACTAAATACAGAGCAATAACAAGGATATTTTTAAACATTTATTTAAAAATATCCTAGTTTGTGTACATCTCTGACATACTATCCCAAGAAACACACTTTAATGGGGTAAAACATCCTAGTTTTAGCTGAAACACAAACCTATTTGATGAGATTTTTCTCCTTTAGTACCAATACAGGATTAATGAAAATTGCACCAAGTCAATGTATTTCACCATTTAATGTGTCATGATCAAAATGATACGTTCGGTGTTTAAAAATACCCTCAAAAAACTGCAGTACGAAACACACATGACTCATCTTTGTTTTCTGAAGGCAGGATCTGGTGGATATTCTCCAAAAAGCAGTCTGCTCGCATTGAAATCATGTATCTGTAGGAAGCAAAGCATTTAACCGGAGCTGAAGAAATAAACCTCTAAACCTCGCTGATGCAACCTAAGGGCAACTGGGATTACTTTATTTCAATGCCTCTGGTGGTGTTATGTTGCTGGTAATTTAACTGTATGCATCTGTAAATAACAGGATTATGTGTTGGTCTAACAGATGCCAAATTAGACCATTTTCAGGGTTTTCTCGCCCACGCGATGTACGCTCATGAAATATGCTGTTTATATTGTTGAAATGCTGAAGATTTTTTTTAAGGTAGATCTCACGTGATGAATCACATACTGTAGAAACGCATGAAGAGGAATGCTGAAGAAAACAGGGTAGCGTAATTACATAACGGTTCATAGCGTCTGAAAGTCTATGATGTGCATAAATGTGTGTTCGTTTAGGTGCGTCACCCTTTGATTGTGTGCCGTCGTTCCAGTTGGGGAGGCTGCAACCTTTCCCTGTAGATCTGGAAGGATTGCAGTTTTATCCTTATATCTGGTTGCTAATCTCGCGTGGAATCCAGCAGCGCTAATATTGCCACCTGGTCCCCGGCACATCAACACACAAACGCTGCAAGCTCCTCTTTAGCTACACAACATGGGTTTATAGTTCATGCTAGTGCTCACACTCTATTTTTGTCATGAAAAGTGACTTTTCAGCCTGTTTCCTGAATCCAGTGAGTCTGCTGCTGTGATCAGGAATCCGATGATGGTGCCAACTCCTCACTGTTCAGCCCACGGATCAGCATGTTGTTGTGAAATAGCCCAGTGAAAGTATTGCGCTGCAAGCTGTTGGTCAATTATGATCACTTCCTCTGGGGAATCAAAGCTTTTGACAGACTCCAAGGATTAACATTGAAAAGATGTGAGTTCCCCACAAGTTAGAGCCTTGCTATTAGTGGTGTGAAGTGTGGTGCTGTACATAGCTGGCTCATGGCAACCTAAGCTGCTGCTGCACATATTTTAAAGATGAAGTTGAAATTTACTACAGATGTACTTGCTGTCAGCTCCTTTTTTAACAAGTACAAATAAATGTCAATAAAATAACAATATATATTTTGCATACAAAACATATTCGACTTGACCCCTTCTGTAGCAAAATTGACCTACTTTGAAAATGCATTTACTGCTTTTTAGTAATTTGCTAATGTGGAGTAACTCATTTTTGTGTTGCAGAAAACATTCTGTGATTTGGCACATTTGCAAACTGGATCTAGGAATATTAAGGTTGCAGCACACAGTCAAATGTTGAGATTTTAAAAGGGAAAATAGGCTTAGATTTAGTGACTTTGGATGTGATCATAGATGTAATCCATCAATTTAGAGCCCCATTCCATATCCAGCCTGCTCTATTTGCATGTATTGTTCAATTTAGTAAAGGAGGAACATACATCAGATCAGAATGTAAAAAAAAAAAAAAAAAAAAAAAAAAAAAAAAAACTGAAAAAAATTCACATTATGCAATTGTTTGACGCAACAAAGAGAAAAGGCTCCAATTTCCCCTTTTGAGTAAATGTCAGTCAGGAGAAGGAAGAGTGTTTCATGCGACTTCCCTTTATATGCACCCAGCCAGCCTTTACCGTTCAGCTTGCACATAATAGGCTTTTAACAAGCTTTGGCCTTTGACCCCAAGGTGATCACACCGATGGCCCCTCCTCACCATCACCATGTTTTTATTGCAGCTTCCTGGGCTTCAGATGTCGCCGCTGCAGCAGAGGGTTCAGAAAGGCCCGGTAATCTTTACAGCAGGCGGTGGGTGTGTTTGGTGGGCGGGACCAACACGTGATTGCAGCCTCTGGATAGGTGTGTACTTTTAAAAGAAGGCGGGACTAATCAAGCCTGTGGCTTTATATCAAGTCAATCAAACGTGATTATGCTGCTTTCACTGACTTTTGGTATTATTTATTACTGCCATAGGAAATACTACATTCATTTGGTGTTAAGACAACGCAACGTAAATAATCTCTTCAAAACAAATGTATGAGGAGCAAAAGTTATAACATAAATCGTTGTTGTTTTTTTTGCTTTGGTTTTCGGATGTCCTGTATTGATTTAGATTATTTATTCCTAATTTAACCTTATTGAAATTAAACAAAGCTTTAGTTTTATTGTAATTTTGATTTGATACACACACATTATGTTTAATTAAGTATATTTTGTTGTTTAGTAGTTGAACTTTCATCTGGAGTAAATTCCTTTGCATCGCCCTTGATTGATTGATTGATTGATTGACTGATTGATATTTACCAGATTACTTTCATAACGGTGTATGCTGGCTTTTATATTCCACCTTTTCTACCTGGTAAAACATATTTAACGTAAGTATAAACAAACTGTTGCAGTAAAGATTTGGTGCATATCGAATAAATGGATGAACACAACCATGATGTGTGATGATAGAGGTTTCTTGGAAGGGCCCCAAAAAGCCCTGGACTGGCCTTGGCACATATGTTTTACATTAGTTTTATGACATAGGACACATAGTGTAGCTAAGCAGCTTTATAAAACAATCTGGCTGATGAAACATGGCTATTAGCTCACCGTATTCGATTCATGTATTTTAAAAGCATGTACAAGTGAAACCAAATAAAAGTATTTGAATGGCATGATTTGAGAGAGACCACTCTGCATTTCCGACGGCCCCTGAACGCGGCACCAGCTTCCCCCCCCCCCTCCCCTGTCACGCACCGGGTGAGCGCTCATTCAGCTTTATCGCCCAGAGAAGCGCTGTGGTTTCAGAGAAGTGCACATATGCTTCGCTCACAGGCAGTTCAAACAGGATGTAGCGACTGAAACAGACCACGGAAAGAGAGAGGCAGACGCAGAAGACAAGAGCGGCTCGAACTGTGTGATGTGACAAACAGCAGGCAGACAGAAATGACCGCCTCAGCGGAGGAGAGGAAGACGACAAGAGGGGTCCCGGTGAGGAGGCACCTCGCCGCCGCTGGCAGGTCTTGACGGCTGCTCCCGGTGACCTGAGAGAGCCGAGCTGGAAGCAGCAGGACGCTACCCACGCTGAAAAACACGGCACAGCCGGAACAGTCCACGACAACCTTGAGAGCCACCATGGCGAGCCAGAGCGATTGCTGTGTGAAGGTTGCGTTGAGGTAAGCCTCCGACGTCTGTCCGCCGCTGGAAATCTGCCGACTTTGGCAGACAACATTGTGTCTGTGCCTGCAGGCGGTCAGTCAGATCACACGCATCCTTTGGTATCATTTTCATCACAAAACGCGCCTGGATGTCACAGCTCAGTGCTTGATCACCCATAACACCCGTTTGTTGTTTTGCAACATATAGGTGCCGCTCCTCACTTTATTGATAAGAGAAAACGTGTCTGTGCCATGCGATCTTTGTGTGACTGATTTCATGGTGCATGGCTGGGAGTTTCCTTTCATCACCGGTATGCTTACAGTGGAAGCTGAATGTTGCATTCAGCTTTTAAGACTGGGTGAGGTGACGAGAAAGGACGGCTACAGCCAGGTGCAGGGATAGGGAGGACAATGGGCGTTTCTATTCACGCCAGCATTAGTTTAATCATCTCCACAGACCTCTCCCTGCATTGCCGCCTTGCATCTAGTCAACGCTGACCATGTGCATGGCAAAGTCTCTAACAAAGCTGCATAAAAAGCAGTGGTCTTTACTTTCCTATTGTTCCTGACATAAGCACAAAGACATGTTCCCCATTCCTGGACCTGTATTGAAAATGCAAGTACAAAAGCTCCACTCAAAACTCCACTTGATTTGTATGAGGACAGATGGATGTTTAGCTGTATGCAAAAATAATTGCAAATTCAAAGATGATTGTACAAATGCGCCTTTATATTTTAGCACATTTAGGATTGAAGCGTCTGAAATTGGCAGACAGGACCTAATTCTGGCTTTGTGTATATTCTGAAATCATACTCTAAAATAAAACAAGCAAAAAACAATCTTGCATAAATGAAGCAGTAATGTAACATATCCCAGACATCTTTTTTTTGTAGAACTTTTAAAACTTTATAATATTAGCTTTGCTTTCTTGAGTGAAAACTCGCTATGTCATTCCTGCATTTTCTTAGTTATGGACACACACTGGCTCCTAAGTGTGTGTCCATTAGGCGCCAGTGGTGTTACATGATTCAAAGTCTTGTCCTTCATGATACTCAGAATTGTCCCTTTGTCACCCCCAATCAGTGCATGCTCAGAGGAACCAATCAATAAGCATCAAGGCTTCCCCAGAATTCTTTCTTTCATCTGGGAAGAGCATGAGACCAGTATGATGGCACTCTTCAGTGGATTTCTGCTGCTTATTGATACTTTGATACCAACCAGAAAGAATCCAATAAACCAATGGCTGGAGGCTTCAGACACTGGATGGACTCTGATGCTTGTGAAGGATCTGCAGATGTTTTTACAGTGTATGTTGTATAATTCACTTTTGGACTCCCTTCTTTGGAATGCCTCATCCATTGGCCAAGGGTATCTCCCCATTTTATATTTTTTGATCTAGTGAGGATGACTTTGACTTTTTATACGCAACATCCTTGCACAAGGGCTGTCAAACAAAACTGATTAAAATGACTATTGGCTTTCCATGTCAGCTTATGGTTTGATTTAGCTTTTCATAGTAATACAATGCATAAGTGACCCAACTGGCAGGTCTTACTGTTTGCCAGGTTCTCAGAGGTTCATCGTGTCACTTGGAGGAGGTCGGAGGATGTAAGCCATAAATTGTGAATTTTAACAGATCTTCATCAAGACCCCATTTGAGGTTCATGGATTAAACTTGAGAAAGGGAGGTGACTGTAGGACTGCTTGGTACAGCTGAGACTTAAAACAAATAGCTCCATTCCCCAGGGGTATGTTTCAGCTGCTGAGTGTCTCTCTTTCAGTTTGTTCACACCGCCAACTGCAACAGGAAGTAGAGTAGATTCTGCTTAAAAAGTCTCTAAAGAGAAACTGTATAAACCACCAGTGACCGCTTCACAACAGGTCTTATCGAACAAGGGATAGATCGATCAGAGTTGACTCAGATCTGTGTTTAAGACCTTTGCAAGCTAAAGACAAGACCAAATCAATTCAGAGTGCTGCAGAAACCTCAGTAAACTGTTAAATCTCTTTAATTAATGTTCTCCTCAAGACTTTTTTTTCTAATTACACGACTGGTTTCGTTTTCAAGCTTTTCATCATGAGTGACCTATATTTATACACCCAGTGAGTGGCACACAAAGTGTCTGTGTATTCAACAGGAAATGGGAAACAGGCAAATAAACACACGTAAAAGGATAACTTCCTGCCGCATTTCCCCCCCCATATCCTCTTAACAACCTTCTGAGCTTCTTTTTCTTCCCAGAGAAAGTCGCCTGCCGATAAGAGGGGGCTGCTGTTTAATTGCTCCCATGTTGTGTTGCCCGTAGGCTCACTAGTTTCACCGTTTTACTTTTAAGTTTGTGTGCTGATGTGCAAGCATGCATTCGGGGGTCAGTCAGGTTTTTGTAAGGCTGAAGGAGCACTGCGACTGAAGTTGCCGTTTCCTCAGTGTCTGCTTTGCTTTTCCTAAACAATGTCCCTGTATCCAGTGACATGGCCTACAATCCTGCATTCAGACCCGACTGCCTGAGGGACGGATTATTCACACTGCATCTGCAGCGCTGTCAAGTCAGGCACGACCCCACACACCTAATGGAACAGTTACTTTTTTAAAAGCAAATCCTATGAAAAGGTGAACTCCTTTTGGTTATATGTTCCATGCACAGAGTGAAATATCTCACGTGTTTATTTGTTAATATTGATAATTATAGCAGTTTCCCACATTGCACAAGACCGCTGTATGGAGACTGCCTGCATTTGGATGTATTGTGGGGAAAAGTTCCACGCTTAGACGGCACCACCAATACACCGTGAATCAGATGTAGTTGGCGCTGGGATTTTTAGTGTGTCATCAAAACATGCGCGTGAAACCTCAGCTTCCGACTCATTTAGAAAACAAGAATCCATCTCTGATGAACAAAGTGTTTATGCAGCACATATATATTCTTTTTCAGAAGTTGTGTTAAACTGAAGAGGTTAAGTAGCACAACACAGCACAAAGCCATCTGCCATTGTTTTTGTTTGCCTGCCCATTCATGTGAAGAGTGAATCCTCAAGCCTTTTGTTCTCTGCATTTTCACTTTCGCGCCTGTGGAGTACTTCACACCTTCGTGGAGTTATTCCCGAAAAGCTTCACTCTGAGACCTGGTTTCAAAAAGCGCTGATGTCAGAGACTGCGATTGCTGGAGTCGTATGAACAAGCAGCTGGATTGCATCAAATGTTACGGTTTCACTAAAGAGCAGTTCTATTTAAACAGAACCCCAGAAAACCCAGACAGAAACGTATCCATAATATAGGTTACAAATTAACAGAAATAAACTTTTGAAATGTGCCACTTTGTGTTTAATATAGAATGTAAAGGGTTTTACTTGAATTATTGACATAAATTACCTTCTCAATTACATTTTAATTAATAGAGATACACACTATATGCACAAGCTAACTATTGGTGCACCAAGGTTTAAACAAACAATTTCAATATCCCTAAATCTTTAGTTACATCTTTTCATTGGTTTGAAGTTGTTGTTTTTGACACAAAACTTTTCCATCCCCATTTGTGGCTGCACACTGCCGGTTAGCTGGCTGAACAAAGGTGCTTTTCCATCACTTGCACAAAAAAATGTGGCTGTGCTGAAATAGTTATTACTGAAAGAAACACCTCCATGGTATGAAACCTACAGAAGTGCCACCCATCATTTTTTCTTTTAGTGAAAGTGACTGGCTATCTGAGCTGATATCCTGACTATTTAATCAACTGAAGTAAAGCTAATAATCCTTGAGGGGTTCTGTATAGGGAATCATGGTGGAGATAATGAGTTCATGTTATACATTTTTTGTTTTAAAACTTTGTGTGAATACCATGCCATTAAAACCATGGTATTTTTATTTCAGGTCATCAGACTATGGGGAATCTCATTTTGGCCCATGTCTAAATGTGACTCCTATACTTGGTGAACTGTGCATCTTTATAGTCCTGCAGTCTTTTACTAAACTACCTTACTCTGAAGCACAGGGGCTGTAAGGATAAAAAAAAGATTAATTTGCAAACACAAGGTTCTATTCACACACATGGAGTATCACTTTATGTTGAGTGCTTTAAAAGGTTTACATTAGAACTGACCCGAGTGTTTTTGTGCACCGTTATGAAAGCCAATAATTCATCTATGTGCACGCGGGGTGGAGCCCGACTTGTGAGTTATGAACTCCGTGTGAAATTCCTTCTGCATATTGATCGGGCCCACCATTCCTCCAATTAGACCAATGAGTGAGTCGTCTCCTGCTGAACTGCTCTGTCAGCCCCTGGCACTCCTTATAAATAGACACAAAGACAAATCTGTTTAATGCGGCGTTTGAACTTGTGGCCTCTCAGAGATGTTCTTACCTTAACACACTTCCTCCTTAAGGCTGTCCTGCTCGTTCAATTTGCAGCCATGGCTCAAGGAATTACCAAATAGTGAGCCTCTGTGTGCTTCCTGCTATTGTGGTTTTAGGGGTGGGGGGGTGGTGCAATGGGGATGACTTTAATGAGGCGAAATAAAAAGGAAAACTGGAAAACGGAGCATAAAATATTCAGTGTTACTTATTAGCCTACAGATGGATGAGAAGCGTTTATGACGCAGAGCGTTTTTAGCTAAGAGGCAGGGGGAGCTCAGCTGATGAGGTGATGATCAATCAATCTCGAACCATTCAGACAGAGAAGACTCTCATAAATCCATTACTGCTCCACTGCCTGCGAAACAAAACAAGAGCAGCAGAATACAACTGCGGAAGTGACCCCTCTCACAGCTGATACACAAAGGCTTTAAATGGGACAACAAAAAACATGTTTTGCTGTTGGACATTTGTCCCGTGTAGGCTACCAGTCTCGCCTGTTTCCTGTGTGTGTTAATAGTTTGCCACACATGCACTGTCTGGGTTACTTACCTCCCATGGGGGTCACTTCTAAAAGGTTGGGTTTGGTGGGAAAAAGTCAAGGATATCAGGCTTAAATGGCTGGAGTTACTGGTCATAAGGTTTGGCTGCTGCAGTTTAATCTCC